GTGTGCATTACTGAATAAGCTGAGGTCAACTGTGGGGGGTCGCCGGAAAGCCGAAGGACAGGGGACGCTGGAGCAACTGTTATCAGTTAGCCAGAGGCAGCTGCGAGGTCAAGCATCGGGGGTCGGGGGCGCCAGTGAAAGAAAGAATTGGAACAGTTGTTTGTGACGATGCATAGCTTTGGGGCAGCGCGCATTGAAAAACGAAGGGAGGACAGGCATTGTGGCCATCCGCCACAACCCGAAAGATCTCAGGAGCTCAGTTGCAGTGAGCAGGCCTAGAACTGCCTCTGAGTGAATCACTCCCTACCCAATCAAACCGTGCGGACAGCTTTTAAATAACGCCACAGCAGTCACCACGGACAACGATTAAGGTTATTTTTGAAGGTGTATAAAAAAGCAGATACGTTACTTGTCATCATAATTATCTTTTTTCAAGTGTATCACATAAATTCCAGTCGACAGAAGTTTTTCGCAGTCATGGAATGTCTCCTGATAACCCCTCATAAATTAAGTTAGCGGATAAATGTAACTCGCTACCTATTCAAAGGGCAAGATCTTTTTACCAATTTTTCCTATTGCAGCACTGTGGTACTAGTTGCCTATTGATATAGGTTTTCCATAAATCCTTGTAAAAGCAAAACCATAACGGACACAAAGATAAGTATCTTTTGATCAAATAAGAAACAGAGTTGTCGAAGATAGCCTTAGATTTTCAACGGTGAGAGTTCCGGGATGAAAATGTGGGAAATGAAAGTAGCTTACCGAAACGGATTTTAATTCATGCTGACGTTTCAGAAAGCTTGGCCAGCCCTCCAGTTACAAAGCCTGAAGCTAAAGATAAGCTGTTTGGTGGTGACCTGTAGACCTTCTTTTACGAAAACATCCCTGTTAACGAAACGCTCGCCTGGGACGATTATCCCTTTCGTCTTTCCAAGCATGACATATTTCCATGCTGACGTATATTTAACAACTCTATACCGCGAAACACACTTTGCAAACCGACTTTGTGGTTGCAATGAAATGGCGTTGGCAGAAAACTAGCAACCGAGTACCACTGTTAGATGTCGGATGACGCCGAGCATGGACTGAAAAGATAAGCAATAGAAACGTAGGAGCTTGTGCCAATCTAGCTGCCGAGTTGGATGGTTTCTATAATTGCATACATTTTTTGTCATTCAATAAACATTCGTTTCCGTTCCAAGGACTCTTGACCAGTCGGCAGTGGCTTGTTCTTCCTTTTCAGGAATGTGTTCCCTAGTTGTTAAAGTTCCCTTCACCGATCGCATTAATTGAGACAGTTTTAGAAGTTGCTGATATTCTTCAGAGGTAGCGCCCCTATAATCGGTCAGGTCAGCTGAAGAGGGCATGAAGTAAGCGAAAATTGTAATATAGTACCAGTATTTCCTAGTCTTTTTTGATTGAGCGTCGACTACTTTTATCCGTCATATCCAGAATTTTCATCCGCTTCCACTTCTTTATCCACATTAGTGCGATTTTAGTGATGGAAGGAATAACAAACGAGGAAACCTTCTACGATTGGGAAAGCTTATATGGCCCTCCTAGTCGGCTCACGGGCCCAGGAACCACATATAACGCCTGGGCAAGGCAACAACGTAGTTGTAGATTTTGGTGTCCTTTACAGCAGTCGAATGTTCCATATTCAGGATCTTCAAGTTATCAACATAAAAATCAGGCTCCAGCTAGAGTGGATGGCAGGCACCCCATGTTTGTTGTGCATTGTTTTGTATATTCACCGGAAACCTTTACTACAAAGAGGAATCTTGTTCGCGAGACGAATACTTTCTTTGTGTAGTAGCTCCATGTCTCTTAAAACTATCCTAAGTCAAATCAACATGCTTTTTTTAAAAGAAATGGAATAAGGTACACTAAAAGAAGTCCTTTATACTAAAAGTCCGTATAATACTGCAATCCATACCGGCGTCGAATTTGTTTGCGGTATTTTCAACTGAGGTTCTTACAAGGAAAAGGATTCAGTCTGGCGACAGCTGGAACTCCTCGAGAGGGAGAGAGGCATGCAGTGTGCAGGAATTTACTCCTAATTTTTTAGTGGTTTCTGAGTGTTCCGAGGTATTAATTTATGGTGGGCATAACAAGTATCCGTCAGAAGATGTCCACCCCTCATCAAAGGACAAACGGAGGCTAAAGCAAGCTCACGGGGTTGTATTTTGTACAAAATCTTGAGAAGAGCGAGCAATAGTTGCTGATGAGGTAATAATACAGCAAGATCTTTCATCCAGGGCGGGACTACCAATGAGATTTATCGTTCAACGCACTGTCAAAAACAGGCCCTGGAGACTTACTGTTTGTAGGAGGGGGAGACCAAAAGTGGACTTTGTCCAGTCGCCAGAATATTTGCTTAGGCCCTTTAAGTCTAAAGACTGCGGCTCGCATACGTGGTCGACTTTTTCATCGCATTTCCAAGTAACACAGACCCTAAACCAACCAACTCTACGACAGTGATTTTGTTGCATACTATTAAAAAAATACGAGAGAAGGCTGACTTAATCTGGGCTAGAGTTCTAAAATTGGGTAAAGATGACTTATATAACTTTCTAAACAGGAATTGAGAACACTAACGTTACGCAATAAGGTCTCTTTGCGTTAATTTCCGGCGAAATGGCGTTAGTTTTACGGTTAGGTTAGGGTTCAATTTAGGGTTAGTTTTAAGGTCAGGGTTAAGGTAAGTTAGAGCCAAGTCTGGTACTGTGGCACAACGATTTTCAATGTTTTCGGGATTTACCACTCTTTTAGAAAAGTTCGTATTTCTACGCAACGTAATATTACTTTTATGTTTTAATTTCGCTGCAGGTCTTTCATTATTATTTCATAGCTTTGGTACACTAATTGGTGCCGGTTTACGACCGATTCGTAATCTTCACAGTAATGGTAATGAAAATACGCGAAGTCAGAAGAAGGAAGAGCGAAGAGGGAAGGCGACTTTAACATAATGGTAAAATGGCATAAGATGGCAGTTCAAGGTATATTTGATGGTTGAGCACTAAAAGTGAAAGTCATACGCGTTTTTCAAGGGGTCTCAAGCATTTGCTAGCAGCTCTGGTCCCTAATCCCCGATGAAAGCCGCGGCTCGACTTTAGTCTCACTCGAGTAAAAAGGAGTGAAAAAGTGAATGCACAGTTTTACACATGTTAATGTTGAAAAGCAGTACTTTCTTGTTGTATCATTGACTTGGTGACCAAGTAAGGGACTTTTACGTTGTGAATTAAACAGCATTAATTTGAAAACCAATCGGAATCCGTTGTAGGTTCCATGGGTTAAGGCACAGAATAAGAAAAGTCGTAATATACTACAGGTGACCTAGCACTGAATTGTAGGATGGATAAATATTCCCATATTCAAACCCTTACATGAAATCTAACCCTAGTCTTAGCTTTACCCGTAACCTTACCATAACCCAAATCTTGGTCGGACCTTAAGATTAATTCCGACCCAAATATTTAATCTAAACCTGAACTTAACCCTAACAAATACTCTAACCGTCACCGTCACCGTAACCCTAACGTTTATTCCAACCCTAGCCTTAATGCTAATCCTACTTTCAGTAGATTATAGCACAAGGCCACCTCTACTACGTGCGGTTTCGTTTCCCGTGTCCAACCGAGGAGGTCATATAACAGATCCTGAGGAAACTCTGCTTAGAGCTATCGATATAATTAAGAAATAAAACGTGTACGGACGAATTTGGCTCATCTTCGAAAAACGAAGGCCATCCGGGATGAAGTAGCCTTCCTGAAAACTGGGCAAATTTATGAATCCACAAGCAGTACTCTTATCAGGAAATTTGCATTAAACGTTCCGGTGCAGAAAAAGAAGGGCAATCTCCAGTTTTCTTGATTATAATAGAACATCTGAAATTCGGTTGCCTCCTACAAAAAGTGTCAATCCTTCTAACATGCTTTTCATGGAGAACAAAACAGTAAGTATTGATAAGGTAGGAAAACTCTGAAGGGACCATAGGCGGTCTCATGATGTGAAATAAAGCAGTCAGTAGGCAAAGATCATAAAGCCAGTCCTTGTAGCCGGTCATCACCAGAGCTTCCGTAAAAGTAGACTAGCAGCAGGTGACGGACCTCAGGGATGATTAAAACGAACAGAGAAATGCATTCTTCTATAACCTAATTTCTCAAAGTTATTTTCCATCACTTTACCTGTTCTACGTGAGAAAAAATAAGATATGCTATCGGTGAAAAACAACAGCGAGGTGGTCAGGCGTGAAATTAGGCCTCATATCTTCATGCACCAACATTGTTTGCTTATGGTGCAACTCAGTTCGGATAGATAACGACCAGGTGAACATCAAGAACAGGTAACGCGGTAAAGGGAGTGTCCAAACCCCTGACTGGTGTAAGAATGTCATTTCCGATGAAGTAGATCAATAGTTGGCGTTCGTGCGCGACTACTAAGACAGCAAAGTAGATTTCTAACAAAGGAAACAAAGGCGCCTGTACAGGTAAATGCTAATTTCATACGCGGGGAAGGAACACGGCCATCCTTTTTTGTCGTGGAGCTCTCGCTTCCAGCCCACTCGGGCAGTTGAGGAGCAAATAAGAATAATTTATCGAGAGGTATAACCGAGTTGAACTTGTGAGAATGAAAGGATCATCCCTGGTATATTTTCTCGTATTATTTAACCATATAGCAAGAGCAGGCGTATACATCCAGGAGAATCCTTATTCACCGCAATACACAATCAGAAGTTGGTCCGCGTCTTGCTTGTCTCCTTGGAAACCAATTGACCGTCCACTGGTTCAACAGCTTGTCATAAGAAAAACAGGTGTGTCATTTTTAGAAGCGCACGTATTGAATTCATCCTCTTCCGACACTCAAAGTCGTTAGTTTCTTCACCGATTGCAGGCATACGGGACGAGAGTCCATAAAACTGACAGAATTGCTCATATAACAAAAAAATGTCTTGCGAAGAGGGCAAACAAAAGTAAGGGCATACCATTAGGTCCTTGGCGCAGTCACTGATGCTGACGAGCAGGTCCGGGAGCTCGAGGGAGGAGAGGGAGGAGGAGGAGCTAGCGCGCGACATGGCAGGGGTGCCCTCAGGGGAGGGGACGCTGGTTGGGTAGTAGGAGGTAGATGCACGCTTTTGGCTGCCGTGGCCACTCGTACTGTGCTTACCGCTGCTGCTGCCGGTTCGGAAAATCG